AGGACATGGAGTCCAACTGCTTTATATGCGGCATCAATAAAGACTACTTTGATAAGGTGAGCTAAGTATTGAAGTTTTTACACACACACACACACACACACATACACACGTGCACGCACACGCACACACGCACACACACGCAAATACACACACGGACGCAAACACAATCACACACGCACCGACACACACACACCTAATATAATATGTATGTATGTTTATGGAATTTTCTTCGGTTTTTGTGGGACATTTATGTTTATGTTTGGTAATGTTTAAGAGGCATCCTGTATTTTGGATGAAGCGGTCACTTAGTTCGTGAATGCGATAGAACTTCTCAGTGGTTCGCCAACCTGATCCGATAGTAGATTCAGCGAAGCACTGCTCTTGCTAGGGCTAGTCTTAGCTAATTCCCCAGGCTGAGCCTATACGGGGATGCTAGTCTAATCACCTTTACTAACAATAGTTAGACAAATAAAATTAAGTTTAGGACAGTACTGACGCGACTCTGTTTCAGGTTCCACACGGGTTCGATACGCACGTGCAGCGAGAACATAATTTAGCAAATTACATGTTCTTCCTTATGCATCTCATCAACAAACCAGACACGGAATACACCGGTGAGTACACTACGCACCTTATATGTACATTCTAGCTTAGGAACCATTTGGCACTGTATACCGTGGTCCAGGCATCTTAATCGAAATATATTGGTGGTAGGACGTCTTGTGAGGACGCGTGGGTAGTTACCACCGCCCTGCCGCCGTGAAATAGTTATGCGTTTCGATTTAAAGGGCGGGGCAGCCGTTGTACTGTAAAACTGAGACTCATCACCAGATAAGGCTTGAGCTCGTTCACCTAACTAAGCAAAGAAAAAGTGTTTCATTTCGACCATTCCACCCGGTCACTGTCAGTTGCCGATTTTAATATTCTGTTTTGATTTTTAAGACATAATTTCGGGCTGTTCGCCTCTGATCCCTTAGTCGCATTAGAAACTGGCGAAAAGAGGAAGTGCTAATTGAAGACTTAAAGAACAAACGTGTAGGTGCAAAAATGATATTCGGTTTTTGTTTAAATGATTTTTTTTGAACCCTTCAGGTCAAGAAACATACGTATGGAACATGTACACGCAGCGTTGCTGGGACTTCTTCCCGGTCGGTGACTGCTTCAGGAAGCAATACGAAGATCTTATGGGAGAATAAACAGGAAACAAAACAAACAACATAGGAGATTTTAGTACAAACCTGTCAAGTGGCATTACGATCGCTTTTCATTGACAATTACGAAATTAATTCTGTCAATGTCACTGTCACTTTCTCTCCAATATGCCATAATAATATAAAGGAGATGATCGGTAAAATCGTTTTTCAAATTTTCGATAATTAATGTCTTGCCAAATTAACAATGCAATCTTACAGAATGTATTTTTAGTGGATACTAGAAATAATTTATAAAAATCGTTATTTGTCATTAAGTCTAACAGCGCTTAAAAGTTGGAATTTTGTCAGTTATTAAAATTAAATAATAGGCTTATCTTAAATACTTGCCAATAAATATTACCGTATCCACCTTACATGCTTTTCAATTGTTTATGTACGATAAGACAATTTAAATACTATTCCGATCGGTTCTATAACCAATTTTAATTACATTTTATATTATTAATTACTTCAAGCTAAAAATTCGTCTATAAAACCTTTTAAATTGTAAAATTTCACTCGATTGCCTTTTAAGTAAACAAATATAATGCAAATTTAAATTGTTGGCAAATCAAATTTAAAAAAAAAATACTTTGCTCAAACCGTTTTAACTTTATTGCATTCTCTTGCGTTGCATTGCCTAGCAAAAAAAAATCCGAACTTAGGTAATCTATATAAGTATCTAAGCAAAATACGTAAGAGCTTACGCAAATTATTAGCTGTGTTCAGGTGTTTTGAATGTGTATTTAGATTTCATAAAAATATATATTAAACTCGAATATTTTACTTGGTACCTACGTTGTTTAACTTGAGAACTTACATTTATAGTTCGTTTGTTTAAATCGTGAGTGACATTGACAGAAGACTAATGACATCTTCAAAACATCTGTAATTTGACTAATTTTATTTAAAAAAAGTTTACGAAAATTTTATATTATATAAGTACAAAGTTTAAAGTTATTTGTCGAACAAAATAAAATGTAGTTCGAGTGGCCTTTCCATGAAATAATAATATTTGTTTATTATTACTTATATTACTTAAGATAATTTTATTGTAAAGCTAAATAAATTGAATATTATTTGAGATTTTTTTATTTTGATAATGTAGAAAGGTCGTGGTACAATTTACATCACTGTTCTTATTCTTAATTGTTAATAAGGTAAAGTTCGATGAGCAAACTTATCTATGATTGTCTGTGCGAACTGATATATGAGTCGACTATTATCAAAGCCGGCAATCTGACTTTTGGACAATTATTGGTAAATCAGAAAAACGAATTATTGACTTTGTATTCCATTGGCAGTCACAAAACTCTTCGGAACGACATCTTAGATAAATAACAGGTTAACTATTAACCTTTATTTAATGCAGGTTTTGAACCGTTTTCTTTGAAGGAGACGATTATATTCAAATCAATCTGTATTGACATATCAATAACATTTTTTTTTCCAAATGCACAGATTGCCACCTTTGATAATAGACGACTCATATGTCAGAATATAATGTTAATTTGAAAATTATAAAATATTATTGAACTACTAAATTGTTTCTAATTATGCACGTCCTAACAGGTTATGGGCCCAGGACGTTGCAGAAAGTGAAATAGAAATGATTTAACGATTAATTGTTTTAATAGGCGTAATCCGTTGTGTCAATTATTTCCTGATTTTTTGAAGTTGAAGAAACTACAAAAATGACTTCTAATATTAAGATTGATCGACTTACGGGTGATAACTATGACACCTGGAAGATTCACATGCGAGCTATTCTGAAGAAGAATGATTTGTGGGAATACGTATCAGGAAAAATACCGAAACCAATACATTCAGATTCTAAATATTCTGAATGGAATAAAATGGACGGAAAAGCCGAATCGAACATATTGTTAGCTGTCAGCCCGAGCGAGTTAATTGCACTGGATGGTTTAGACTCCTCTAAAGCAATATGGGACAAGTTGAAATCTATGTATGAGTCAAGCGGACCAACGCGAAAAGCGTCATTACTAAAGAGACTTGTATTAAATCGTATGCCAGAAGATGGAGACCTACGAAAACATATTTCTGATTTTTTCGACTGTGTTAAAAAGCTTAAAGAAATCGGATTAATAGTGATAGATGAGTTGCTTGCTATTTTATTACTTTATAGTTTACCGGATTCGTTCTCAATGTTTCGAACAGCAATGGAATCGCGTGATGATTTACCATCAACTGATGTACTGAAAGTGAAGATTATCGAGGATTATGAAGGTCGGAAGAGTAAGATAATAGACCAGAGGGCTATGTTCGTCAAGCGTACCAATATTAAATCAAATGCCAACCCGAAGAAGAACTTCGAACAGCACACAAATAAAANGGTGTGTGATGTACAACAAATAAAAGGTGTATGATCTATGATAAATAAAAGGTGTATGATCTATGATAAATAAAAGGTGTATGACCTATGATAAATAAAAGGTGTGTGTGATCTAAGATAAATAAAAGGTGTGTCGTATGAATTAGATAATATAAGATATAATTACTGCTTAAACATGTCAATTTCAGGTGCCATACACCAGCGACAAACCAGGCTCCAATAGCAGCGCTGATCGCCGTGGGACACGGCATACACAGGATGGCCGAATGTTATCGAGCAACACTTCCGGCCTCACATAATAAATTATTTACGAACTTAGGAAATATATAGAACTTATTATTCTTATAATATAATTAGTAATTTCATAATCAAGTAAATAGTTCATTCATATTTTCTTTATACTTATAATATTTTATTGGCGCCTTCCGCTTGACAGCTTCCGGCGCAATAAGCCTTAATGTTATTTGTTACATAATTCGATATTATTAAATAATAATTGTACGTAAATAATCAGCAGAATAATTAAGATGAACAATGTTTAATATTACCTACTCAGTTTGTATTAAAATAGGTCAAGATGATTGTATAAATACCGACGGTTAGCATATCTCTGGGGCATTCGTATTCTACCCACCATAACGTGTACTAAAGAGAATATATTATTTCGTGTGGATGTAAATTGTCTCAATTGTCGCCGCCACCCTGAGGATCCGTTTATAGTAGGCAGTGAGGTCATGTGTTGACCATAGTTGACGTGGTATCTGGAATAATATTTCATCCTCGAAGCAACATTCCGGTTCGAAGGATAAAATACCTTATTTTCTAATTCATTTGTCATTTTTTAGTGTACCCAAACAAAGTTCACGCAAAATTGGAAAAATCGATTGACCTCGTGTCTTAAAGCGCTTAAATTATTAACAGTTATTTTGTTTTTCGATTCAAAGCGCACGGAAGCTTCGCAGTTATTTAGTTTTTCGATTCAAAGCGCACGGAAGCTTCGCGGTACAAACAGCCATGTAGCATCGACTACTACAAACTCACTAAGGCTGCCTGTCCACTGGAGCGGAGAAACGGAGAAATATTAACCAATAAAATTGCACAAAATTTCCGCTCCTCTTTAGTGGACAGGGAGTGGCGAACTAGTTTAAAAATTCATACAGAACCGGTAAGCGGGCCAGTAAAACACTGCGGGCGCGGGCGTAAAGCGCGCCCGCAGTGTTTTACTGGTGGTAGGACCTCTTGTGGAAAAAAAAAAAAGACCTCTTGTGAGTCCGCCCGGGTGGGTACCACCGCCCTGCCTATTTCTACCGTGAAACAGTAATGCGTTTCGGTTTGAAGGGTGGGGCAGCCGTTGTAACTATACTTGATAACTTAGAACTTATATCTCAAGGTGGGTGGCGCATTTACGTTGTCGATGTCTATGGGCTCCAGTAACCACTTAATACCAGGTGGGCTGTGAGCTCGTCCACCCTACGTCATCTAAGCAATAAAAAAAAAGATCTGACTCGTCGCGTAGGTACTAAACTCCGCTCCGCATTACTTTCTCGCTCCACGCCGCTCCGGTGGACAGGCAGTCTAATGCTATATTTTAATATGAAAGACAACAAGGTCGTACGATTTTAACTTCATTAATTAAATTTATAAATTACTCATTACATACCAACGTCAATTTGTAGATCGCTTTCAGGGTTTAAATAGTGAACCATAAATAAACAGTTAAGAGGTAGATATTCCTAAAACAACACCTCACTCACGCTACAGAGACATTTTAGATAACGCAATAGATCAGATACAAAGTAATGACAACATATTTTCAACATCCCTACCTATGTTTTCAAACACGATTTTTCTCGTGACACACCTACACAACCTTCAACAATTAATTTTATATCAAAATAAAAGACAAAAACGACAAAATTCTTTATTAATTGACCGACGGCTGTTTGTGAGCTAAATACAGTGTAAATATACTGGTCAGTGCGCTAACTAAAAATATTACGTCGAACCATCTGTGATAGAAGTTGAACTGTAATTCGCCGAGGACTTGAGTTATTATGATTCGGTATTCGGGGGGCATGTTCATTCTCATCAGCAGCACTGACGAACAGAAATACATTCCCATTATCTGGGCCAGTATTAAAACGATTATATTCGATGATTTCGATGATGAGATCTTGTAGAAGAACTGCAAATAGAATTAAGGTTCAATGAACTTCATTGGTGTATTTCTGATGTGACCTCAGGTATTGAGGTGGATACATCGGTCGCATACACAAAAAGATTTACTTGTGCTGAGTTGTGCTTCTGCTACTGTTTGCACTGTGTCAAATTTCGTATTGACTATGGAAGGTAAAGGTAAGTTTTTTATTTATTGCTTAGTAGTGTGGACGAGCTCACGGTTCACCTGGTATTAAGTGGTTACCGGAGTCCATAGACATCTACAACTTAAATGCGCCACCCACCTTGAGATATAAGTTCTAAGGTCTCACTATAGTTACAACGGCTGCCCCACCCTACAAACCGAAACGCATTACTGCTTCACGGCAGAAATAGGTAGGGTGGTGGTACCTACCCTCGCGGACTCTACCACCAGTAAGACCTTCACCAGTGTCTTATAACTTAAAGCGACGATATTACATCTCCCGGTCATCGTTCTCGTCGTACCCGTCGCTTGCGACGAAGGGCTCGACGAGTAAATTAACCCATAGACACAGCCCACTGAGTTTCTCGCCGGATCTTCTCAGTGGGTCGCGTTTCCGATCCGGTGGTAGATTCTACGAAGCACTGCTCTTGCTAGGGTTCGTCTTAGCAACGTCGTCAGGTTAGAGCCCCGTGAGCTCACCTACTAGTTAAGGTTATGCTGAAATAGCCTCTCAAGGCTTAGGTAGGAAAAAAAATACATCTCTACGGTGTAAGGTACTAAATGGACTTGCCTTCGTCAACGTCAGCAGCAAGCCTCTGATGCTGGTGAGCACTATACAGCCGACGAGTATGAAAGACACGTGCTGAGACCAAAAAGCGACATCTATGTTCCAACCGAGCCAGTGGACGACTATCTCTAGGCCTTTTGTGACCGGATCCTTTTTACCGACTCTGTCAAATACTATGTTCACGGTGGACTGAAAAAAAAAAATTTGATTCGTATTTACGATTAACCTACATGGGGACTTTTTGGCGGGAACGCGAGGAGTGAAGTTGTGTGATTTGTTTTATTTTGACTATTTAGTAAAAAAAAATCGGGTTTAAATGTGTAATAACGGTGGTTTATTAACTGTTTAATATCTGTGAAAGTGTACAAATGTGGAAAAATGAAACAAAGCCCCTGAACGTAGCTTCTCGGGATCCTCCAAAAAGTCCACTGAAAAAGTCTCAGTAAATGACCACCATTTTACTGAGATTATATTTCATCCCACATCACCTCATCTCATTTCATTTCATTCTATTTCATTTCATGCCATATTAATCAACTTCATGTCATAATATCATTTTTCATATATAAAAAATACATAAAAGATTAGGCTGTATGGTATGATAGCCTTGCCTTCCCAGTTGGAAAAATAAAACTACTACTACTACTAGTACTACTACTAACTTATACGCAGTTTAGCGACTGGTGTTCTGCTGTGATTATCGCTTATTGCGGTGTTTAAACATCGATTATTTAAACCACTCGCGCGCCATCTATCGTTGATGATACTAAAACTTCCCTAGACTGCAAACTACCGGGCGATAATTAAAAAAAAAGTTTCTACGCACACAGAAATAACTATATATTTAGATCTGGCAGTTCGTTTCACTTTTCGACGTGAGATAATCAAAATATGATTTGGAACAGTATATTTTTATACTAATATTTTTGATTATTTTTCTGATCGATGTAAAATACCGATTATTAAGTAAACTTACGTGATTAAGTAACGAAAGTAAGTAACTATATTTAACGAAATCGAAATCAATGACGACATTTAGTCCGAGAGGGGACACATGACATCACACCATTACCCAAATACGTAATAACCAGTGTGCTTAGTGCGGAATTTTTAACGTTTTCGATAGCGTAAAACGTTTGCCTACGTTTGCCGCTAGGGGCGCTGTTCCGACTGCATAGAAATTAAGTTAACTTTTACGCTATCGAGAACGTTAAAAAACTCACACTAAGCACACAGAAGCGTCTTCGAGAGTATGTACCGTCGGCGCTCATTTTAACATTGCCAATTCCAGGTAGAGGTCGAATTTAACCATAACAAAAAAAATTAATCACAGTACTCACAATAAATATCTTCCATATACAATACAAAGAGAAGAAATAACCTAAGAAATTGAAATATTTCCCTTGAAAAGTCTTCGACCATTCGATTTTTTCTCTCATCGTTCTGGCGTCGTGCGCTTCTAAGAACAATTGACGGCTCAGCTCCTCTAAGCCGGATATCTCTTGCCTCAATTGACTTATATCTGTAGAACAAAAAAATATATATGAATAGTTATTTGTCATTTTTATGCACACCATACTATTTTATTTACTATTAGCGACCCGCCCTCGCTTGGCTTCGGAAACATTAAATTTTATTATTGCTAGCTGAGTCCCGCGAGGTTACCCGCGGTTATTGTCATACCGCCGGCGACGCCGCGGGGCGAAGCTAGTCTAAAAAAAGTAGCCAAGCTACTCCATATATCATCAGCTACCTATCAGTGAAAGTCTCGTCAAAATCGGTCCAGCGGTTCCAGTTTTTTTTTAATTTTTTTTTATTGCTTAGATGGGTGGACGAGCTCACAGCCCACCTGGTGTTAAATGGTTACTGGAGCCCATAGACATCCACAACGTAAATGCGCCACCCACCTTGAGATATGTTCCAAGGTCTCAAGTATAGTTACAACGGCTGCCCCACCCTTCAAACCGAAACGCATTACTGCTTCACGGCAGAAATAGGCAGGGTGGTGGTACCCACCCGCGCGGACTCACAAGAGGTCCTACCACCAGTAAGCCGCAGTAAGATTCGCCGGAACAAACAGACAGACAGACAAAAATTAAAAAAAATGTTATTTTGGTGTATGTACCGTATAATATTCATATGCATGTAGTAAAAAGCGGTTATTTCAATATTACAAACAGACACTCCAATTTTATTTATATATATAAATGAGTTGCTCGCTCCGGGCATTTCAATATTGCAATAATTGTTACGTTATAATACTAATTGTAAAAATGAATATCTAAAAAATAAAAAATTAACTAATTAAAAAAAAAAGACATGCCCGCTGAGTTTCTTGCCAGTTCTTCTCAGGGCGGAGGCTAGTTTTTGTGAATTGGCGGTAGTTCTTTTTGACGTTCAACAAGTACCTATGTAGGTACTTTCATTCATGTTGAATAAAAAATTTTTGATTTGATTTGATTTGATTTAAAATGTACTTTTATCGAGTACAAATTCGCATCCAGGTACGTGGTTTCCTGAGCCAATATCCAATCCGGCATGATTTCCACAAGATCAAAGTTTCCATAACAGGTGCCCCATAATCGAGAGAGGATACTACCCATGCGTCCTAACTGGACTAAGTGGACCTAACTCACATAAAGATATATTCGGTTTAACATGTTTTACCCGTTAATCAAAATATCCAACGCCGGAAGGAAGAATAGAAAATGTCCGCAAACAGGCCATGCTTGCTTCTATTTTATTATTCATGTAATTTCCGCTATAATTATTTCGGTTTCTCACCAATAAACGTAGTGGTTACAAAATGTGTAATTATTATTATTATAACTAGATCATGACCGTTTTTTTGATAACGCCATCTTGTTGTGTCTTTAAAGCGGTTAGTTCCCCTCAATTAAGAAAAATAGTACTATTATTCGCCAATAGATGTCGGGAAGAGTTTATTATTGAAAACACGAATAAAACGACATTTTCTGAAAATAAATCGTAGCTAGATTGAGTTATGGCCCCCGAAATCCCCTGTATACTAAATTGTATGAAAATCGTTGGAGCCCTTTCCGAGATTCAGATTATATATATACAAGAATTGCTCGTTTAAAGGTATAAAAATATATATATAATAGTAAAGATACAAAATTGAAACTTAATAAAACGCTCACTTACTTTCCGTTCCATGACCTAAGGGATTCGCAATACTTCCAACGCTGGACAGAATGTTTGTCCAGAAACCTCTATTTTTCGTTCCAGATTGGTCCAACATATTATACTGTCTCCCTCCAACGCTGTTCGCTTCGGCTAAAGCTATCCTCTTCTTCTTAACCAATATCATGTCCATTGTTTGGAGCAGTTTCTTTTCTATTGATAGTACATCAGATTGGGTTACTGGTCTGAAAATTGTGAAGAATTTTATCTTCATCCGTTATTAATTATTAAAGGATTGTCTGTGTGGAAATTAACAGCATCAACACCGTCGCTCGACTTGATACCAGAGATTGAGGTTTTGATTTTTATTACACAATGTCATTCCTTCCCGTGGAAGTCAATCGTGAACATTTGTTAAGTACGTATTTCATTAGAAAAACTGATCACCTGCGGGGTTCAAACACCGATGCATCGCTAGATACGAATGCACCGGACGTCTTATTCTTTAGGCAACGACGACTTCCTCTTGGCAAATAGCAGAAAAAGTTGGAATTGTTTAAACAAAATGACTGACTTTGTTAAACTATAGCAATTTTATTTGTTAGAGTTAACAAAACAAATTTGTATTATTATATAATCTCCGTGGTTTGATATTAAAGCTTTCACCACAAAACTTTCAACCACAATAGCTCCCATATTAGTTGATGGCTATGCATTAACCTAGTCATCGCTCAATATCTGCCTACCCACTTCTATGCAAGAAAATATATTTTAATCAAAAATGAACCTTATAAATATAGCCATTGAGGTGTAAGGATAGTTGACAGCACCAAAACCTGACAGAAGAGCCATGACGGTCACACCGATGACACCAATCCTTGAAACTCCTTGCTCTATTGAGAGTATGCCCTAAAATGAACGAAATAATTTTAAATGAGGTACCTATTTTTCGTTCGAGCTGGTCCAAAAGAAACATGGTATTAGAACTGATTATATTTATAGACAAATCGCATTAATTTCGTTAATTTTCAACATAACCTATACCCAAGAAACAAGAAGAACCTTAATACTTAAAACCATGTCGTCAACTCTAGGGTTCTACTGGCCTCCTTACTCAGGCAAAAGAAAAAAAAAATACAATATTACAAACAATTTTAAATAACCAAACAAATGAATCAAAGTCATAAACATTGAAATAGCTTAAGATGGCTTTTGAAAATTATGATTGAAGCATATCTAGTTACTAAAAGCCTATAGTGCGTTATTATTAATAGTGATTCAAGAAAAATAAATGATGATTACCTTTTTAGGACTCAGTATTGGGAATGGATCACCGATTTTCCAAAAGAAATACAAGTATATGAACCATACAAACACGGTGAGAGGCCTAATTGAGTTATGTGACACTGAAATTTTGTTTAAAAATTTTGTATTAATTACTTTGCTTCAATCAGTTAGGTGCAATTTGAAGACATTGATTGTTGAGCCACACAACTTTCTACCATAATTTCTACCATTCTTGCCATAGCACAACATTAACAGTTAAATTAATTATTTCCATCGAACATAATTTCAAGACGGGGATGTAATTAAAAACAAGCTCTTACTTTTTTAAAGAATGAAATTTTTCAGATTACACTTTTCTTTGTTACGTTAATAAAATCACAACATATTTTTTAATAATATGTATTCTCTAATTTATTATGATTATGCTATGTTACCATATACTCACCAAATCTAATGTTGCTTATGCAGAAAAAAGCTATGTAGAAGGGTATGAGGGCTATCACCATAAACAGCAGTGAATATAAGCCTAAATTCCAATGGAAGTAACGGGAACTGTAAGTTAAAACTCAACATTATTACAAAATTGTTTAATATTTATGAATGAATGTAAACTGTGCTTATGTACATGACTACACATTTCATTATTGATGGTCTGTCTGAAAATTATTTGTACTATAGCCAATACAGTTTAAGGTAGGTCCTCTATCATACTGCCAACATCTACATCAAAGTAATTAAGAGCTACATAGGCCTCATGTAAGCAAATTGCAAAGTATATACTGCAGTAATTCGGACCTCCAGTGAACTTAACTTTGGCTGAATAGAAATTGTACATCCATTGCCTTTGAATGATCAACTCATTCAACATATTTAAAATGTTATTATATTGTGTCGGTAGCTATTATACAAGACAAGATATTTGATCATGGTCAGAATCTCGTTTATGACTTCTTCAAAATAAGTTTAGACACACAAAAGGTTTGAACAGCATTCGGACCATTCATTCTACCAAGCAATTTCAGCCACTCGGTGGAAGATTGTGCTTCAGTCATTAAAACTCCCATAATAAGTTTTGTTAATAGAATATTGTAGGGATTGAAGAAACTCACTATTAACAATTCTTAATTTTAAAATTTAAACAAAATATAATTCAATTAGAATCCCATTATTCAATGCCACATGATTGAATCTCTTTCAGCAAGTACGTAAGATGATAACATCCCTATTTTAGTGGTTATTCCTAAGAGTTGAATGCATCAATCATATTGAAGACTCCTTACCTTGTATCTAAATAGCCAATGATTTCGAATATGATCAGCTCGAACATAGTACAGCTAAGGGCGAACGTAACAGAGAATATAAGCTGTACAAGTGTATGATGTACTTCATAATCACGGAACAGTTGTTTTACGAAGAAAATCCACCCTCCAACGAAGAATACTACCTGAAAGTTATATTATTTCGACATTATATAGTTAATAGTGATTTTGACGGCTAGTTGTAAAATGTAAATGTTTACTAATATGTAATGGGACTTCGTAAAGTGCATCTGTAAAATTTTACGATATATAACCTGTTTTATTGGTTTAACTGATATATTAATACCTGAGATCCTAAAATTATTAACGTATCTTCTAAGAAAGACATCGCTTTTAAATATTTCTTTTATAATTATCTTTCCATTAATACCAATCAATTCAATTCAATTTTAATTTTTAATTTTCAATATTGTTTACAAAAGTTTACATTTGGTTTACATTTTACATGTCGAATTGTCGACATAACGTATGTCAATTTTTTGTTTTATGCACCCAATAGGACGAGCAAAAGGAACATAGAACATACGAATTTCTTTCTACAGGATCCCCTAGAAGTAGGACCTACGAGGTATGCGGAATAAAGGGAATTTATATCTAATCTCTCATATATTTACTATCCCAGGTCTTGCAGTCTTCAAGTTATGGATTTTTTATATATTATGATAAAATTGTTGTATAACGTACAAACAGTTTCACATTTTACAAAATATATTACAATTTTTTTGTTATTTTTCGTTCTACATATTAAACACAAATTGTGCTTCTTAAATTTAGAAATGTAAACTTTCCTCTGATTCCTTATACTAAAAGTTTTCTTTACACTTAAACAATTCCATAAATGGTTTCATATCCAGTTCGGTTATTTTACTGCCAAGCAATAATGCCTTCCAGTTTGAAGGGCGGGACAACTGTATTACAAAATTGAGACTCGGAACTCATGCCTGAGGGTGAATGCGTTTACATTTTTTATGTCTATGATGTCTCCGAGAACTATTTAAGATCAGGTGGTCAGTGAGCACAAAAAAGGTTTGCAATTTAACAAACCCAAACTATGTATTATTTACACTATATTGTCTTTGCCTTATTTCACGGCAAACGGAAATCACTGGCTTATATTTTAGAGCGGACCCATATATTACATTCATACTTAATATAGCATGGCCAGTAAATAATAAAAGGGATGATAAATAAATTTGAGGAGATTTAATAACAAATAAAATTATGCTCTTAACTTTATATTTACAGTACATACTTATTCTGCTACAAAATAAATAATGATTAACTAACACAATACAATATGTGTAATAAAATTGTTTTTTGCTAATATGGGTGGACGAACTCACGGCCTGCTTGCTATTAAGTGGTCTCAGGAGCCCATACAAAATCAGGTTAATACCGCTGTCCATATTGGAATATGATTTATAAGTCTCTGCTTTTACAGTATCAACCTACTTCGAACCAACGTCGCATCGCGCGTTACGAAAATTCTGGGCATCTTATCGTTTAGACCACGGTGATTTTATCTATATTTTTAAACTCTTTTCTTGATGTTGTAGTGTGTGGTCACCATCCCGAACTTTTTTTTTTATTGCCCTTGTAGGCAGACGATCATACGGCCCACCTGATGGTGAGTGGTTACCGTCGCCCATGGACTTCAGAAATGCCAGGGACAGAGCCAGGTCGCTGCCTACCGCGAAAAATACACGAACAATGAAAACAGCTAAGCTGTAATGCAATTTATTATTAAACTTCATTCTTTGGGAAGTTAATTATGTACTCTTGACTATCATCACACACTTGCAAATAATAAGTATTATCAGTTTCAGTTTCAGTATTATCTTCGTAAACTTCATATGAAACAGTTGGTATTGCAGCTGCCTCATTACAAATTGGACTACCAATATTGACTGCGGGCCCCATATTCTGTTCTTGGATCTCATTCTTTATCTCTTCATGACTCTTATTGTGTTTCAGCATGTATGTTTTGGAAGTAAATTTTATATTGCACTCTAAACCGACCCCAACATGATGACGTTTGATATGTTCTGATCTTCGAGAAGCCGAAATAAAACTTGCATCACAATGCTTACATTTGTATGGTTTTTCCCCAGTGTGGATCCGTGTGTGATATAATAAAGACTCTTTTGATACAAACTTTCCACCGCAGATGGTACAACCAAAATTCTTTTCTTTTGTATGCTTGACTATATGCGCTTTCAGTCTACTCTGGGCCCAATATTTCTTACCGCACCATTCACATACATGTGACTTATAATTACCATGCTCATATTGAATATGAACACGTAAAGACATTTTTTGAGTATATTTTTTGCCACAATAATCACATGTGAATTTAGCTTGAGACGGATGAGCCCGGCATTGTTGCTCACATACATTGTTTTCCTTGTGCTTTTTATAGGTACTTTTATTTTTATACGTCCTACCGCAATCTGGGCATACTATGCTCGTTTGATGACCCAACTCATGTTCTTTGAATGTATTACTATTATAGAATGTCTTACCGCATTCAGAACAAACAAACACAGAATGACTGTCCCTTCTGTGAATGTTCAGGTATGCCTTGGAGCCATACTTACGGGGACACTCAATACATTTGTACTTTTTTGGAGCATGCACTCTTATATAATGACTTCTTAGATTACATATTGTCGCATATGTCTTAAGACATTCCTTGCACATAAGTATGTCAGGGTTGTTTTCGTCGAATAAAATTTTGTTTAACGGTATATCGAAATTCGGTGAACGTTTATGTTCTTTTTCAATTATAATATCTTTTTGCTCAGATTTAATTGGTTTTGTTGGATTTAAAATTTCTAAAAATCTTCTGGAAGCTTCCTTGCAATTCATAATTTTTCGGCAATCGTAAAATTGGTTGCTGGTGAAATCTTCAGGATTCAAAGATAAATATAGGGTTTTGCTTCCGTACAGATTTTCCGTAGTGGCTTCTACACTATTCGTTACAGTATTGAGCATTTTGATCATCAAATCAGCATTATTTCGGCTTGTGTGCATAAACGTATAACTGCTTATAGTTAATCTGGTACATTTGTCACATAAAACGTCAAATGATGCGACGAAATCATAAGTCTGGAAGTAAAGGAAATTCATTGAGTACTATGCTCTTGTTGAAGGATGTTCTTTGTACTATGCAAGTGGTTTAAATGCTTATCTACAAAATAATAGATGTAGCTTAAAAAAAAAAACAAAAAAAATATACATACAAAAAACTTTCTTTTATTATAGTAATAGTGGTCAGGATTTTAGACCTAAGTTATAAGTTATAGTATTGCCATCAGTCCCAGATGTGTGAAAAGTTTTAAATTTTGAGACATGACTTGAAGTCTGTGAAAATAATATTGCAAGATTCTGTTACATATCAAGCTAATAAAAACATGGTAATAAGTTTATTATCATTTTGATATGGGACCGTGCAATAGATGTAATACTGAAAAACTGTATAGCACTGAAAATAAATAGTCATACCACTTCAACATCAATATATAGTTGAACTATGGCTAGTAGCTCATTTTTTTATCGAGTATAAGTATTTTAATTCATAATTAATTTGGTAAATTAATTTTCTTTTAAATTTAATAATAAAATATAGAATAAATATTAGACTCAAAGAACGAGACAGAAATAAATAGCATTGATTAATAATTATTTAAAAATCCTTTACAAATGTAATGAATTACCTTCATTCCCAAAACTGAATTTAAAATTTCTGACATATTCAAGGTTTCTTCTTTACCATTAATATTCACGATGACTTGATCTTTAATAGAAACAAGTTCCTCAGTATTGTGCACGCCCGTTTTATGGAAACATAAACAACATGCATTGCGTTTGTTTTTTATTAAACTAGTTAACATTTGATTAAGGGACATCATTTTAAAGAATTTAACGACTTCTCCAACTTCTGGTCTCAGAAGAGCATGGCGATTGTCAATTAGATCCCAAATGCATTTCGTAAGAAAAGATCATATATTTGTAAAGATTTATTTATATATAAAACACTCTGTGGTCTTGCATGAAATGAGTAAATAATTTTTCCAGTTTATTTTTTACATTCTTTGAATTTGATTAATGATGTCATATTTAGCAATTGTCAACAAGATTAGTGAAGTGTTAACATCGCTATGTTAAGCAAAAGGCTCCACGACAATACGTATAACAAATGAAGAGACGTAAAATGGACAAGTATTTCTTCTTAACTGTTTTTATTCACATCTAGGGAACATTATTATCGGTACAACTTCGTTAGTCTGGCGATTTTCTTCTATAGAAATGGAGTGTCTCAAATACTACACACTAAGTTTATAGATACTATCGATACACATTAACGACTGTCTGTGGTAACCAAAAACCTTTCTTTTTTGTTTCCTACCTAAGCTGATAGCCTTGAGAGGCTATTTCAGCGGAACCTTAACTAGTAGGTGAGCTCACGGGGCTCAAACCTGACGACGTTGCTAACACCAACACTAACAAGAGCCGTGCTTCGCAGAATCTACGACCGGATCGGAAACGCGACCCACTGAGAAGATCCGGTGAGAAACTCAGTGGACTGTGTCTGAGGGTTAATTTACTCGTCGAACCCTTCCTCGCATACGACGGGTTCGACGAGAACGGTGACCGATGCTTAAGGTACCTAAAAGCACCGTTAGTGGATCGGGAGGATCCGAAATGACGTTTGGGGCGACGTCGACTGCTTTCCATTCTTTCCGCAGGATCGGGAATGTAGTTTCTCAAATATATTAAGTGTATAATCTATGATGTAGTTAGCGGCGGTCACGATGAGAGGGTTCTCGTGTCGTGCCGCTTTATCGAAGTGGCGCATCGACGCCGACTGCAGATACTAACTGATGGACTCTAAATCCAGGTCGTCATGGAGGTCGACGTTCTTGACGAACCACGAGGCTCCGACGGCTATCCTGCAAAACCGGGATTGAATTACTTGGAATGATTCTAAGGGAATGCGGGCCGCGTGAGCGAACATTACACTTGCATAGGTCATGACGGGGCGTATGCAAGTTTTGTAGTGTCACCTTATTTCTAAGGGACATTTTACTTCGCCTGCATATCATCGGGTAGAGACGTCCTAGTATGAAGACGGCACGGTCGCGTACCGTCTTTATATGGGGGCAGAATGTCATCCTTCTGTCGAGGGTGACGCCTAAGTATTTGTTCAAATCCAAAAACCACTAAAGTATGAAACCTATAGAAATGAAACATCAACAAAAAATGCGTGCCACTATGACGTCATCCGACCGCTAAGCATGGCGGTTTTAGTGCTGCCCAGTGTCCTTAGTACGAGCTTTTTAACGTTCTCGATAGCGTAAAAGTTAACCCAATTCTGTATGCAGTTGGAACAGCGCCCCTAGCGGCAAACGTAGGCAAATGATCCCATTTCATACAAAATATATGAGATAACTTTTACGCTATCGAGAACGTTAAAAAACTTGCACTAAGCACACTGAAGATTTTACTGTTATTAGGTTTTATCGATAAACGTCTTGGCTCATTTTATTTATACTTTAATAGGAATGATATTGCTTATGTGCAAAGATACTTGGATTTAGATGTGTGAAATCTAAGACAAGATCATGCTTCTTTGCTAAGTAAACTATATGACAATCTTTAAAACTTGCTACACTGATTTTATAAAGTTGTCGCTTATCAACTCAGTGACCGCAAAACTGAAACATATGGCGTAGTACAGTGCCATCTGCCCATTTCTAGCATGGTAAAATCGTCGTTTCGTATGTTGCTATCTCGCTCGCACTTGCGTATATGCCGCAAAGGGATGGAAGCTTTATGTCAACGATAAAACGTTAGCATACTTAATGCATATGCTGTTTTGGATATTAAAATAATAGTACGTGTTTTTCTTCGACTACTTACCTCTCTATTACAATCTATTTTAATTGTGTTGCTGACTCTAAAGTCCGTAACACACTACCGCAACGCACCTCAAGATAGGTGTGCCGCCGCGCCGTACCATAAGTGAGAGTGATACAAATTTGAAAATTATCATAGGGCCGCGTGGTAAAAAAAAAAAAAAGCACCTTCAGAACATTTATTTAATTACAAACGTCATTCCTTATGACTTCCTCTCTAAAATCACTTAATTATAACAAATTTAACGAATTTACAATAGTGTTTTACTCGTTACGGAATAAAACTATTTTATTTAAATAGTATTATTTTTATGATTAGTTTCATGATTAATTGATTCCGACCGAAAAATTGTGTCCGATTTTTCGGAGTAGTGCTCCTTATTGGGTTTAAATATATGATTAAAATAGTTTTGTGGCATCGACTTATCCAAGTTAGGTTTAATGATTTTTTCTGTCTTTTTCGTTATGTCTTCAACATTATTCGATAAGTATTCCAGTCCACCTCTTGTTTTAAAATGAATCAATCGTTTTCAAATTGCTGTTCGGACCTCCAAACAATAACGAAGCACATGTATGACATTTTATATTGCGGGATAATTTTCTAGATACAAATCCTGCGATGTAAGTAACAACTGAGTCAGCATATACGGAAAGAGCAAGCAATCTATGGCTTCCTTGTATAAGGTGCTGTCATCTTCTGGCACATCAACCAATTGCTTTTTTTCGGTTTTAACTTGTGAAATTTAAAATATTAACTTGCTCCAAGGCAAAGCAATTGCCGAGCCCTTCGTCGCAAATTTCAGCTCGAATAAGAAGCTTCTTGAAGGCTGCTTTAAATTGAATGGCATTTGGATTATTGTTAAAACTCCCTGGAGCTCTTATAGCCGAAAAAAATAGCACGACGTGATCCTGGCTGATCTCGTATAGTGGCAAATATTTTAATATATTTGTGTTTTCGACAAGATGTCGATATAGATCTAATGTTTTCGATATAAATGTGTCGATATCATGCTAATGCGCTTTTCAGATCAATGATTAACCCCACAAAGCCAGTCTTTCTCCTCGACTCAATTACTAACTGCCCTGACGGCAGCCTCAGGCCATTTATATAGCCAATTACACCTTCAAACAGCACTTCAATAAGGCCGATGTTTTAGGGATGTTAAACCAGGCGGTTCTTTCCTGTAGGCTTTTTCTGTATTATATATTTTATAATGTTCTCGAACTGTACAATTTTTATCTTTTGCCGCCGCACTGTTTCATGTAGTCTTTTTACTTTCTTCCTTAAGAAATCACATTTATCTTCAAGTTTTTTTATTTTATGCGTTTGGATCTGAAATAAAAAATGATTATAATTGATTACACTATGTTTATGTGTAGGCGATCACAAATTTGGAGGTAATTTTAAATAATTTGCCAATAAGTACTAGTACTAGACTGCAAGTATTCGAATGTTTTTCATCGAATGTTTTTCAATATGAGCGTTGCTAACTGGCGGTTAGTGGGTTCAGTTAGAGGATGCCTTAAGGTAGGTCATGGTGTAGTATACGTACCAGTAGATTATCCACTCCTGAGGTGCCAGGGACAGAAGCAAAAGAAGCAGTACACACGGCAGTCGTCGTCATGGGGAGCTGTGTATAAAAAAAAGTGTGTTTAAACCCAGACTAAGACTAAAGGCACCCACTGATTACCAGTTCCCCGGAAGATATCGACCTGTCAGTCAGTCTCACAAAATTTGGCAGCTCCGAACACTTGCCAGGCTGATATAGTAGAGTGAATTGATAGTCGGTGGGCCATTTACCTGAAGTACCTATTAATTCTACGCAGATAAAGTCGCGAGCAAAACTGGTAGGTACTGAAAATTGGCAGTTCTTAAATTATCTAGCTATTGATAAATAAGTTACTTACTGCTGATGTTGCAGCTTCTGAAGTTTCAGAAATAGGAACAGGAGCAGGATTCCGTGGGAGGCCAGTCTGAAATTGTTATATAGAATGAGAATGACATAGATCACAACCAGTCATAACTAGCATATCAGTAATAATGTAGCAGCAACAAGTATATCAAAGGCTAAAAGTAAAAGTACAAATTTCAATTATACGAGCAGTCTCCATGAAGGTGAAAGGCACGAGAAGACATATTTAGGCCGTCAAATGCGAAGACGGAGCAGAAATTATATAATAAGCCGAAAATCTAATGCCTATCCTGCTAATCATCATCCCACCATAAAAAACTTGTTTATTAATTTTGATCCTTTTATAGCATATTTTGTTGTAAAATAATATGTATGTATTAAAATATGTATAATAACTAACTTAACTAAACTTAAAAGTAACAGTATAAACTCTCTCTACTCTTACAAATTTCGAGGGCACGGCATCATCTCGTAGTCGAATCACATCCATAGTTTTGTTGAAACATTTATCATCAAAATGTCGCGAGCAAATATAAACATCTTTTACATTTGACTTTATATTTTCCATTCTAATGGCTTCCAGCCACTTTTTCTTTCTACTCTCATTTCTTGGGATCCTATAAAATATGTTTTAATTATTATTTTTATATGTTTTAAGCAGGGTAGCATGATAAAATAGGAAATAAGCAATCATATTAAATCGATATCGAAGTCGATAAATGGTGTACAACCCCAGCTAAAAAATTAACATTATTTAAGCGTTAAATAAGTCAAATCCATTAATGACCTATAACTGCACATGAACCTTGCTAATTATAATCTTCCCGGCAATATTAACAATAAATTTTCGATGTTATTTATAGCCACATAGCGCGAAGATCGGACGGCCGATGGGGCAGAAAGATCCTCGAGTGGAGACCACGTACTGGCAAACGCAGTGTGGGACGGCCACCTACCAGATGGACCGACGACCCGGTGAAAATTGCTGGGTCACGTTGGATGCAGGTGGCAACGGACCGGCCGCACTGGACATCAGTTGGAGAGGCCTATGTTCAGCAGTGGACAGCAGACAGGCTGAAATGATGATGATGATGATGATTTATAGCGTACCTGTGTATGGTTAAAGATGGCTGATTTGGTGTTTTTTTTTTGCCGCACCCTATTACACTACACATTGGCATATTTGGCACAATTATTTTAAATCACAAAGAAAATTATTTATTTTGATTAAAACCACGATTTTTTGACAGTACGGTACCGTACCAGCTGAACTGACTGACAATGACATTTGTTGGCGCGCTAGTGGTGGCTGAAGTATGAAACCTATAGTCATAGAGTTGTAGGTACTTATTAACTCCATGCCTATATTTGTCTATGTGCGCTACACACGGCGGATTTTCGGCCTCATTAGGTATTTACGTATATTCATGTTTTACTTTATGTACGCACTGAAATACTGTCATATTGTTTTCCTGCGAGTTACAGTGCTGAGTAAGAACGAGATAAATACATGTTTATGTGTGTGCCTTCAAAATGGATGCTATTTAATATAAGCAATTGTACGTTTAGAACAATATGTCGCGTCACTAATAAAAAACCTATGCTAAAAACGGATTACAAGGAGTAAATAGATTTATCATTTAAGGCAGATTTATATTGAGTCAGTAACTAACGTCAGTGCACTACCGAGTCAGTGCTGACCTAGCATTGCCATCGTGTAAATTGATTTCAAGTCAGTACAGTAGTGTCGCGTCAGTACTAAATTCAATATTCCAACTTCATATTTTTGGGCGTCAGTCCGCTTCCCCCGCCACCCACGCCAGCGCTACTGACGCCGTGTAAATGCCGAAGTCAGTCGCTGCCACTTTATTGTACAGTGACCACGCTGCGTTGCACCACACCACAAAATGACGCGAAAAGTAAACGACACGAAGAACTTAAAGATTATTCAACTATACCACGATAATGAATGCTTGTGGGATAATAAATCACAAAATTATAAAAAAAAGAAATGCGTCCAACAGCGTTACAGAATATTGGCTGGCAAGGCGTCTCTCATAAATGTGTCTTGACGCTGAATAGAGCTTAATAACGACATAAGCAAATCATCAGTCTTTTGGCGTCACTCTCAAAGCCAGTTTGTATACCCTAGGATCTTCAATTCTCAACTGGGTTAACAACAGAGCTGAGCCTCCAGTTTGATCGCTGTCACCTATCCATTTTCTTACCCAAATTCGCTTCTTTTTAGATATTTCTTATAACATACCAGTTAGTTCTTGCATCATCACAAAGGTACATTTTCTCAACAAATTATTAACTCAGATTTTTTGCTGTTTTCGAGAATTCATTTTTCCACACTGACTTTACAAATAAACGTGTGTACACGTAAGAAGAACACATAAGAAATATCCTCGACTACTGACGATGTACTGGCTGCGTATAAATCGTATGGGTCAGTTTTCGGTGCCAGCACTGACGTTAGTAACAGTTACTGACTCAATATGAATCTGCCTTTACATTATTTTACTGAGAGATGAATTCTCATTCCTATTAAAATTTAATTTGATCTTTGATCTATAATATTTTATCTTATTTCGTTTTGTTCCATTCCATTTCTATTGATTATAATTTCAAATAAATGATCTTGATTTGGTCCTGCTTCGGTCTAATTTTTATATTACAAAGTATACTGTGTACGTAATAATAGTTAATGATTTTACAATAATGACTTTGACACAAAATCTTTCTGGTATATTTTAACTTATGTTATGAATTAAACTAAAGTCTTGTGGCGAGTAGCCATCATACAACACAAGATATATAACGAATGCTTGAATCTCGCTTTCGACAATTTCAAGATATGCTTGCATAAATACAAGCTCCGCAAGTTTCGAACAACCCGGTCATCATGCTTGTCGAATCCGTCGCGTCGGTTGCGACGAAGGTCTCGACGAGTAAATTAACCCACAGACACAGCCCACTGAATTTCTCGCCGGATCTTCTCAGTGGGTAGCGTTTCCGATCTGGTGGTAGATTCTGCGAAGCATGGCTCTTGCTAGGGTTCGTGTTCGTCAGGTTTGAGCTCCGTGAGCTCACCTACAAGCTCGGCGAATGTAGAATAACCCCTCGAGGTTACTAGATTAAGTAGGAAAAAAATTATCCGGAAAACAACATTCAGACCTCCAGTCTACCGCGCGGTGGAAGATCTTCTCTCCGTCATCAAAGCTTTCAAAGTCGCATAGCCATCTATTGAGTTTTTCATAACTTAGGATTGTTATGATAAATAATTAAACTTATAATTTCTATGGTTGTAGTTTGTTTTGTGCCTCAATATAAATAAATAAAAAAAGTGCAAATTAAAAAATATTTTTTTTTAAAAAATTATCAAAGTTTAGGTGAATTTGTGAAAATTGACTTGTATAATATATGGTTCAATATCTTCGTATTTCTAATTTTAATAAAACTGTAAAAGCTGTCAAATGTCAGATTTTTCACATGAATGTCAATCTTTGACTCCGCAACTTGGACTTAGTCGCGGTTTGCGTTAGGTATTCAAAATTCGTAATTTTATTTGTATGTGATTGTGCAATAAGGACTAATTTGGCTTGTGCTACATATTGAAGAATTAAATAATTATTATTTCAATCCCATTTAAACTTTACGGTAAGTTGTATTTCGGATCTTAAATTATTAAATTTAAGGATTTAATTGGTTCCTAATTTTATCAAAGAAAACAAATGTTTTGTAATCAATGCATGATTTTTAATTTATTAAAAGGTTTGAAATAAAATAACTACCCAAAATTGAGGTCATTGAGTCTTACAGGAGTGATTGGAAGTATTTCACTTCAGAAATCGATACCAATTTAATGAAATGAAAAAACGGTGCATATATGTAATGAATGAGAAACAATTGAATCATTCGATCGTCAGTAGTTAAATATATTTTGAAAAAAAAAACAAGTAAAGAAATTAGTTGAAAAAAAATGTTTTCAGTACATAAATACTACGTTTTTTTGTTCATAATCAATAAAGAAAAGTTTTTAAGTGTGAAAAGCATGAAGTTTATTCAAAAGAAACAAACATTTTATTATATGAATAAAATTTTGCATTGGTTAATTTACCAGGTGTACCGGCTTGAAATGAGGGTTTTTTGTGGAAATTAAACACTAATTTTGTACAGTGGTTACCTCTATATATGAGAGCCCTAATAATTTTTTTTATTGCCTAGATGGGTGGACGAGCTCACAGCCCACCTGGTATTAAATCGTTACTGGAGCCCATAGACATCTATAACGTAAATGAGCCACCCACCTTGAAATATAAGTTCTAAGGTCTCAAGCATAGTTACTTAAGTTACTATAGTTACTTAATAAATAAGTGTTTGACATATGAGCCGCTGAGCGAGTAATATTTTGGTTTGTGATGAGAGCTATTGACTTGAGATACGAGGAATCACACACTACACCGTTGCACATGACCTCAACATGCCTGGTGCGTGTTGGTGTCTAAGAGTTGCTTCCACCACAGATCAGACCTCAATCTGTATGTTTGTTTCCTTCATTTTTGAAGCATTTTTGATAATTTGGGTTTTGTTTTTGTACATTTTTAAAATATTATATTTCCCATACCTATTAAAGGGCCAGAAATTGTTTGTTATGCAACAATTAACAATTCTGTCACTTGTTTCTGACTCAAAGTGTCATCTCCTTCCAATATTGTTTGCAATTCGGTGTCTTAAGACATTTTTGGTAGGCTTCCACATTCTTCATTTCTCACAATATTGTTATCTCTGACCTATCGAAACCATGTTTTGTATGTTGCTTCTGATAGACCATGATCACCATATGCCTCAACAAGCATACAATGCTCTGCAGCACATTTTTTGAAATGAAAACAAAAAATTAATGCTTTTCGCAAATCATCATTTTATGGTACAAAATTCGCCATCTTTAACATGATGAAAAAATATGATGTTATTTGTTCACTGATTTAGTATATACTGAATACTTGCGAACTCAAAAAAAAATTAAGTCTCATCTATATATATATAAAAATGAATTCCTGTTCGTTAGTCTCGCTAAAACTCGAGAACAGCTGGACCGATTTGGCTAATTTTAGTCTTGATTTATTTGTGGAAGTCCAGAGAAGGTTTAAAAGGTTGCTCAGAATTAAATAAAAATAACAATTTTGTCCTTTGATGTGGTCCCTCGTCGGACAGATTCCTTTTGTTTTAAGTTTATTTCATACAAAAGCTTAGGTCTTTTAATTTATCGGTTGAGGCACTACGAAGTCTGCTGGATTAGCTAGTTCGCAATAAATGTTCCCCACGGATACTTTAAAAAAATAAATCCCTTTCTATTCTCTTCTAGCCTAAGAGGCTATACCTGCTACGTCCGGACGAGTAGGTGAGCTCACGGGCTCAACCTGAGAGAATTTTCTAACACTAGCCCTAGCGAGAGCAGTGCGTCGCAGAATATACCACCGGATCGGAATCGCGACCCACTGAGAAGATCCGGCGAGAAACTCAGTGGGCTTTGTCTATGGATTAGTTCGCTGGACGGTGATCGATGCTTGAGGGTCCTAAAAGCACTGAGAGTGAATCCGGGGGATCCGACAAGACATGTTTCGGGCGACGCTGGCTTTGCGTTGCCCCGTCCCGTTCGGATAAAATCAAAGTCGTCGTGGCCTAAAGGATAAGACGTCCGGTGCATTCGTGTTGAGCGATGCACCGGTGTTCGAATCCCGCAGGCGGGTACCAATTTTACTAATGAAATACGTACTCAATAAATGCTCACGATTGACTTCCACGGTGAAGGAATAACATCGTGTAATAAAAATCAAACCCGAAAAATTATAATTTGCGTAATTACTGGTGGTAGGGCCTCTTGTGAGTCCGAGCGGGTAGGTACCACCACCCCGCCTATTTCTGCCGTGAAGCAGTAATGCGTTTCGGTTTGAAGGGTGGGGTAGCCGTTGTAACTATACTGAGACCTTAGAATTTATATCTCAAGTTGGGTGGCGGCATTTACGTTGTGAATGTCTATGGGCTCCAGTAACCACTTAACACCAGGTGGGCTGTGAGCTAGTCCAAAAAAACAACTTTCAGAGCGCTAAGGGTTAAATTACAGTAATATGTCGCTCTGGTACATAATAATGAATACTCTATGTACAAAATGTGACTATTTTTATTACAGTTTCTGTGCTCTCCTGGCTCCTGTGTTTCTGGACTTTGGCTCAAGAGACTTAATTAAAAAAAAAAACCAAAGATTTTCGC